TTTCGGGTCTGGACCCTTCTTCAGAAATTTCTGAAGAAGGATCCAGACCCGAAACGTCAGCTTTCCTGCTCCTCTGATGCTGCTTGGCCTGCTGTGTTCATCCAGCTCTAAACCTTGTTATCACTCTTCCTAAACAGGTGTTGTTTACAGAACATAAGTTGAGAATACCTTTACAAAGTTAGATAATTGCTAGTGCACAATCTATTTTGAGGGGTCTCATGGCACTGTGGTAATGTCTCAGCCTCTGGGCCAGAACGACCAGGTTCAGTCTCACCTCGGAATGTACTGTAGGTGTAACAGATGGATAAAAAGCTCCCATCCATTCTCATAACTGAGTGCAGGACGTCTTATTTGCAGGTCTCCAGCAGCAGTCATCTCCAGTGATCTGCTGTAATGCTCACTGCCAACATTGTACAACCTGGGCAGCTGAAATGGGAATCTCCTCATACTGACTGATCAGGTTCTTTGTTGTTCACTGCAATAGCAGTGACCTGTGAGCTAGCGTTGTACAGGATAGGAGAAACCAATCTTATAGAATCTCAGCAGGATGGGAAGGATGATTCTCCCATGGATATTCATACAGTAGTCTGTCTGCTGTTTCTCCACAGTAACCAACAACCATTGACATCAATCTTTAATCAAGATTTACAGCCTGTACAGAACCAGGTGATCTTCAAGATCCACCTAAATCTCGAAGACGGATTGACAGAATCTTGCTGTATCTGGTTTGCTGGATCACATCTCTGGCAAAAATTCTCTTCTCTAGCTCTGTACTGGAGTATAGGGCTAGGTTTTTGTGTTTTTCCCCAGTGGGCTATCTGACAAATGCAGTTTGGAATTTTCGGGTTTTTTTTAACTAAAGAGCTGAGCCTGATTGGGAAGAGGTTTTGCTACAGATGTTTAAAGCCCTGATTAAACCACATCTGGAATAATGATCAACTAATTTGCCTCATGGGTGTGTCTGGACAGAGGGCTATAACATTAAAATCAGAATCAAGCCTTTCAATAGAGAAGTTAAGAAGTAGTCTGGGCTACAGGGGACAGAAGTTTGGACAAAAGCAACAGATCTGAGATCAATGAATCATTTAAAGTTGAGATTGGTATAGTCCTGCCATTAATGGGAATGGAATCAAGGCAACTAGATGGAAAAAGGGTGTAGATAAGCCACGAATGTTATAAACGGAAGAAGTATCTGAACAGTTCACTCATAGTCTCCTGTACTTAAAAACTAATGTAAATCATTGCTTTGTCCTTTGCTTTGTAGAAGTCATGCTAATAGCTGTTAGTAATTGTGTTTTAACTCCATTTTAGGTATGTCTTGGCAAGACAAAATTGTACAGCAGCGTGCGAAGATGGCAGAGAAAAATGCCAGTTGGCTGGTGATCACAGCCCTTGATGAAGTTGCATGTGGGTGCATTTTTTTTACTTCAAAGATTTTGGCAATTGAAAAATCAGTGCTGTCTTAAAAAGAAATGTTCCAGAAAAAGAAGCATTTACTTGATTTAAAAGCTTTTCTGAATCACCAGTTCATGTCATGAAAATATCCCAAAGTCTCCAAAAAGTACTTGCATAACATTCACTGAAACTGGCAACTTGTCCCAGTTATCCCACGCCGAGGTAAATGTTTCCCCAGTCTACTTCTTCAAACTTTACCGGTTTGTTGTTCTGCATCTTTCTCCATTTGTGTATTCGGCTTCTAGATATCTCTGCTGTTTGCCTCGGCTGCTCCAGGGGGTAGAAGGTTCTGCATTCAAATTACTATCTGGATAAAAACAAGATTCTCCTGAAATTCTGGTGTAAGGAAAAGTGAGCACCAATAAAGCAGTCTGTTGCACATTGCTCCTATGCCATGCTAGCACTAAGTGGGAACGGAAGATCCCCTTGGATGGCCAGAGGCTGAAGCATAATCTCCATTCAGTTTATCTCACTTTCACTCCTGACAGAGCCCTCATGTGATTCAGCAGCTCATTCAAAGCTACAGTGACAAATAAAACCTGCAACATCTCCTCAGTGACCTGACTGGTACCTCGGAGCCGACAAGCCAAACCCATAAGGTTCCTTGCTCTTGTCATTATGTACCAAGCTCTATCAGACTCAGTGATGTATAACTCAACTCAACAATGCTCATCATCTCAAGTCATTTTGAGCCAATTCATTTCCCTGGCACCTATTTCTGAGCCATATGGCCCTAAGCCCCCACATCAGGATCTGAAACAACAGGTCTACTGGGACAGTCCTGTTTGTGGATTTTTGGACCCATTGTTTCAACCTGCTCCTGCCCCTCAGAACACATTTCTTCCTACCTTGACTCAGTCTTCTGTCCCCCGGTCCAATCCCTGCCCACATACATCCGTGATTCCTCTGATACTTTATGCCACTTTAAAAATTTCCAGTTTGCAGGCTCCAGCGCCTCCTCTTTGCCAAGGACATGAAATCCCTTTATGCATCCATTCCCCACCAGGAGGGTCTCAGGGCTCTCCACTTCTTCCTGGAGCAAAGGTGTGAACCATCCCCACCCACCACCACCATCCTCCGCTTGGCTGAGCTCGTCCTCACCCTCAACAACTTCACTTTGAATTCCTATCATTTTCTTCAGGTCAGAGGGGTGGCCATGGGTATCTGCATGGGCCCTAGTTATGGTCTCTTCATGGGGTACGTGGAACATTCCTTGTTCCAGTCCTATTCCTGTCCCCACCCACAACTCTTTCTCTGATACATCGATGATATCATCAGTGCTGCTTCCCTCTCTCGTCTGGAATTGGAAAACTTCGTCAATTTTGCTTCCAGTTTCCACCCGGCCCTCACTTTCAGCTGGTCTATCACTGACTCTTCCCTTCCCTTCCCTTCCTCGACATTTCTGTTTCCATTTCTGGGGATAGAGTGGTCACTAATATCCACTACAAACAAACCCACTGACTCCCACTGCTACCTGGACTATAAATCCTCACACCCCACTTCCTGTAAAGACCCCATCCCATTCTCTCAGTTCCTCCGTCTCCATCGTATATGTTCAGATGAGGCTAACTTTGACAAGGGAGCCTCTGAAATGTCCACCTTCTTCCTCAACCGAGGATTCCCCAGCACCGTTGTCGACAGGGCCCTCAATCGGGTCCGACCCATTTCCCGCACTTCCGCCCTCACCCCTTCTCTTCCCTCCCGCAGCAGTGATAGGGTTCCCCTTGTCCTTACCTATCATCCCACCAGCATCCACATCCAGAAGATCATCAGAAGTCATTTCCCCCACCTCCAGCAAGATGCCACCATCAGACACATATTCCATTCCCCTCCCCTCCCCTCCCTTGTCCACCTTCCGCAGGGACCGTTCCCTCTGGGACACCCTGGTCCACTCTCTCTTCACCCTGAACAGCCCTACAGCACCTTTCCCTGTAACCAGTGAAATGGGCAACACCTGCCCATTTACCTCCTCCCTCCTCAGAATCCAGGGGCCCAAACATACCTTCCAGATGAAGCAACACTTCACCTGTACTTCACAGAATCTAGTCTACTGCAGTCGCTGCTCACAGTGTGGTTTCCTCTACATTGGGGAAACGAAGCGTAGACTGGGTGATCACTTCGCAGAACATCTACTGCTCGCAATCAAGACCCTGAGCTACCTGTTGCCTGCCACTTCAACACACCACCCTGTTCTCTGGCCAACATCTCTGTCTCTGGCTTGCTGCAGTATTCCAGTGAGGCTCAAAACAAGCTGGAAGAACAACACCTCATTTTCTGCTTGGGGACCCTGCAGCCCTCCGGACTCAATATCGAATTCAATAATTTTAGGGCCTAAACTCTCCCATGTCCCAGCCCCCTACCCCACACGCCAGGCCTTGTTATCACATTGTCTACTATTACACACTACCTATTGTTAGTCACTAACAGTTCCTCTTAACAGCTATTCACCGTCCTAGCTAGATCATCATTCTATCCAACTGCTCATCTCTCTGTTTGGGCTCTATCCTTTATTCTACCTTTTACTCCCTACCCTGTTCCTCTCCATATAAACTGATGTTTTCCTAGCTGCCATCAGTTCTGAGGAAAGATCACCGGACCTGAAACGTTAACTCTAATTTTTGTTCACAGACACTGCCTGAGCTGCTGAGCTTTTCCAGCAACTTCTGTTTTTGTTTCTGAATTACAGCATCCGCAGTTCTTTTGGTTTTTATTTGGCTTCTCTCAGCCTGTTTGATTTTTGGGGCAGTGACAGAGGAAGGGAATGGAAACGGTGAAGATATTTAAGAGGTTTGAGGTATTGCAGCTCAAATCATACCAAAAACTGAATGACTTCAGTGGCTGGAAATCTGAAATGATAAAAATTGCTGGAAATACTGTGTAATCAGTCAGTAGCTGCAGATAAAGGAACAGTGAGCATTTCTGAGGTGTGATCTGTATTAGACAAGTGTGGAGCTGAGGGAAAACTGGGTGAGATACAAAGAACAAATTGAGCAGGTTTATGGTAGAGTGAAAGGCAAAAGGAATCACATCGAGACAACAGTTTCTAACAAATAAATTTTTCTGGCATGGATGTTGGTGTGGTTGGGTTGAGAGATTGTGGTGGGACTTGACCCTCTGCAGTCCTTGCAGAGTATGTACACCCACAGTGCTGTTAGAAAGGGAGTCATAGAGTCACAGAGCATGGAAACAGACCCTTCGGTCCAAATTGTCCATCCTGACCAAGTTTCCCAAACTACGCTAGCCCCACTTGCCTACATTTGGCCCATATCCCTGCAAACCTTTACTGTTAACTTTTTTTGCATCCACCACTTCCTCTGGCAGTTCATTCCACACACAAATGACTCTCTGTGTGAAAAGGTTGAGGCTGCAGGATTTTGAGTTATTGACAGTGAGGGATAGTGATATAGCACTAAACCAGGATGGTTGGAATGAACTTGCCAGAGGAAGTGTTTCCAAGCATCCGGTGCCCTTATCCTTCTCCATGATGGAGAGTACTGGTTTGGAAGCTGTTGTCAAGGGAACCTTGGTGAATTGTTGTTGTACAGTTTATAAATGGTATACACTGGTGCCACCCAGTGTTAGTGTGGATGGAATGAATGTTTAAGCTGCTGGTTGCGGTATCAGTCAAATAGACTGCATCGTCTTAGGCTGGTGGGATGGCATCAAGCTTCTTGAGTGTTGTTGGAACTGTACCCAATGAGGCACGTGGGGAGTATTCCATCACACTCCTGATTTGTTCCTTGTAGATGGTGTTCAGGCTTTCGGGAGTCAGAAAGTGAGTTAATTGCTGCAAAATTCTCAATGTTTGTCCTGCTCTTCTTGCCACAGTATTTACCTGGTTGGTCCAATTCAATTTGTCCGGTCAATGGCAACCGCAGAAAGTTGACAATGGGGCGTGCGTTGATGGTAACACCATTGAATGTTGAGGAGAGATGATTTGCTTTCTGCAGACAATCGTCCTCATTTCTGCCTGGATGTTAATTCTTGTGCTGTATTATTTTTTGTTCTTTACAGAACTGGCTTAGGCATAGGAGACAGAGGGTGGTGGTGGAGGGATGCTTTTCGGAATGGTGGGTTGTGACTAGTGGTGTTCCACAGGGATCAGTGCTGGGACCTCCGCTGTTTGTGATCTATATTAATGATTTGGTAGAAGACGTAACTGGTCTAATTAGTTTGCGGACGATACAAAGATTGGTGGAGTTGCGGATAGTGAGGAGGATTGTCAGAGGATACACTGGGATATAGATCAGTTGGAGGCACGGGCAGAAAAATGGCAGATGGAGTTTAATCCGGACAAATGTGAGGTGATGCATTTTGGAAAGTCAAGTACAGGTGGAAATTATACAGGGAATGGCAGAACCGTTAGGAGTATTGATATGCAGAGGGATTTGGGTGTGTAGGTCCACAGATCACTGAAGGTGGCAGCAGGTAGATAAGGTAGTAAAAAAGGCTTATGGCATACTTGCCTTCAGTGGAAGGGGCATTGAGTATATGCTGCAGGTTTATATGACTTTAGTTAGGCCACACTTGGAATATTGCGTACAGTTCTAGTCACCACACTACCAGAAGCATGTGGATGCACTGGAGAGGGTTCTGAAAAGATTTATCAGGATATTGCCTGGTACGGAGGCTTTTAGCTATAAAGAAAGGTTAGATAGACTGGGTTTATTTTCACTGGAACACAGAACATTGAGGGGTGATCTGATAAAACTTTATATGATTGTGGATGGCATGGATAGAGTGGAAATTTTGAGGCTTTTTCCCAGGGTGGAGGGGTCAGTTACTCGGGGACACAGGTTCAAGGCGCGGGTGAGGTGGAGTTTTAAAGAGATGTGAGAGGCAAGGTTTTCTCACAAAGGGTGGCGAGTGCCTGGAACGCGCTGCCTGAGGAGGTGGTGAAAGCAGACACAATAGCAGCATTCAAGAAACACCTGGACAAATGCATGAATAGAAAGGGAATACAGGGATACAGATCCTGTAAGGGAAAACGCTTTTAGAATGGAAGGGCAAAGTGTGTCGGCACAAGCTTAGAGGGCCGAAGGGCCTCTTCCTGCGCTGTATTGTTTTTTGTTATTCTTCTTCTTTTAAAAGAGCTTGGCTGAGTGGTGTACATAGCTCTGGAGCACATGTTTTCAGTACTATTGTTGGAATATTGTCAAGGCCTATAGCTTTTGCGGTATCCAGTGCCTCCAACCATTTCTTGATGTTACATGGAGTGAGTTGGCTGAAGACTGTGAATGCTAGGGACAGAGTATACTCAGTGTGAGACGGACCATCTACTTTGATGAAGATCGTTGGAAATGTTTCAGCCTCATCTTTTGCCCTGATCTGCTGGACTTCCCTAACATTGAGGAGGGGTCTTATGGAACCTCATCCCTTTGTTAGTTGTTTCGTCCACCACCATTCATGTGGTAGGACTGCGGAGCTTAGATCCGATTAGTTGGTTGTGGGATTTCTTAGCTCTGTCTGTCACTTGCTGCTTTTGCTGTTTGGTACACAGCAGTCCAGTTTTGTAGCTTCACTAGGTTGACACCTCATTTTAAGGGTTGGTGCGTCATTAGTCAATGTCAGGTGGTCCCTTTGGTTTAGTTACTTTTTAACTTTTCTAGAATGGCTTGGCCCAAATAAATGGCTTGCTAGCCATTCCCAAAGGACTTTAAGATTAACCAGATCAGGTCAGGCTCACTATGGCTGGTTAAGTTTGACAGTTAACAATGGTGTAGTAGAATTTAAGTTCCACTATGTGCCACGGTGGGATTTGAATCTGTGTCCCCAGAGCATTATCCTGGGCCTCTGCGTTGCTCATCTAGTGACAATGCCACGATGCCACAGTGTCGCAGAGTAAGGTAAAGGAAATGATGATAGGCAGGTAAGGAAACCAGAGTGATCTCTAGGATCTGTGAATTCCAGGAGTAGCATCATTGCTGACAGCTGCTGTTTAAAGAAATGGGAACAGTGGTTCTGCTCTGAAATTGTGGATGCCCGTGTTGAGTCCGGAAGGCTATAAATCACCTGTTTGAGAGAAGAGGTTTTGTTCCTCAACCTTTTAAGATTGATTGTAATGTTTTGATTTTCCTCCCTTCTCCACAGGGCTGTTTAACCTTCGTGGCTCTGATATACAGTACAACCCTGTGTTCTTCGCTTTCACCATCATTGGCCTAAACTCCATTCGGTAATTTGGGTTCACAAAGAACCCTTCATTTTATCTTATCTCAAACTTTGAAATTTAAACATTCAAGTAACAATGGCTTTTAATGGCAGTTTTTCGAAGGCTGTAACAAACCCTTGCTTTGAGACTTATTGGATTTTAGATATGCCTGATACTGATGGTTTAAAAACTGTAAATTCCCAGACGTGAAGTAATTTAGTTATGTGGAGAGAGTGGAAAAGCTGGGGGCGTTCTGTTTGGAGGATCTGAGATGACTGAGATAAGGAGGAGTTTCTTCTCTCAGAGGGTTGAGTGCCTTTGGAACTCCTTGCCAGAGAGAGCTGTGGGGGCAGAGTCTTTATGTATTTTTAAGGCTGAGATAGATAGATTGTCCATTAGTTTGGGAATTGAAGGTTACAGGGAATTGAGAGTTACAGGGAAAGGGCAGAAAAGTGAATATGAGGAATATTGGATCTGCCATGATCCTTTTGGATGATGGAGTAGGCTCAATGGGCTGAACAGCCTACTCATGTTCCTATTTCCTATGTTTTTATAGTATGCTAATATTGTAGCTAATTGCCTGTTGAATATTGAAATATTTACTAACTCCATCAATAAATCTGAAAAGACAACAGCAATGTACTGTTGTTTAGATGTTAGTACCATGAGTATCTGAAATGTTAAATCTATCTATTTTCAAATGCTTTGCATTCCATCAGTTTAGTTGTTTTAGCTTTTCTGCACACTTGCCTCCTTGCATCCTTTTTCATTTAACTCCACCAGTGTCTCCTATTTTTTTCTTTTTTATGTTAACTTATTTAGCTTTTCCTTGAATGTGTCTCTGCATTCACCAATCCCAGTGGCAGCAAGTGCCACAGTTTAATCACTCTTTGGGGAAAGATGTTTCTTCTAAATATCTTATTGGATTTATGAGCGGTTTTTGTATGTTTACTGCCACTGGCTCTAGTTTTGGATGTAAGTAGAAACATCTCTTATGTCTACCAAATGGAACCATTTTATAATTTACACATCTCTGTTAGGTCATTCCTCTATTTTTTGGCTTCTAAAGAAAAAAAGCCCCAGGTTGAGCTTGCCTGATTGGTGTAACCTCTTGGGTCTCGGAAATCTGTTTTTGTTCCAGCCACAGTCTGTCTGTTTCATTTTATAACATGAGAACAAACTGTTCATGCTATTTGCCAAATGTGACCTAATCAAAGTTCAGTACAAGTTTAGTATAATTTCTAGGGACATTGGATTGAGGAGTGAGCCCTTTGAGCTTATTCCACCATTGTCTATGATAGTGGCTGATCTGTTTGTGATCACAACATCACTGTTCTCCATCATGTTTGATTCCCTTGTATCTCAAAAATCAGACTAATTCAATCTTGAATATTTTCTACTGCTTTCTGGGAAGAGAATCCACAAAGTAATGACCCACTAAGGGAGAAAACAAAATCCTTATTTCAGTTGTCAATGGGACCTCTTGTTTTTAAACTGTGTTGTAAATTTAGTTTCCTACAAGGGGAATATTCTTCCTATGTCAAGTGCCTCAGGATCTTGTACAGTTCAATTAGATCTGAAGTTGTTCAGTACCACAAGCATTTTGCAACACTAGCTGGCTTGTGACAGGTTTGCTAATCCAATTTCCTTTTTCGTTTGTATATCTGCTGCTAATGGATACGAGCTGGATTTTTTTTTTATTCATTAACAGGATGAGGGCATCTCTGGCTAGGCAGCATTTAGTGCCTATCTCTAATTGTCCAGGGGGCAGTTCAGAGTCAACCACATGTGGGTCAGGAGTTATACGTAGGTCAGACCAGGTAAGGATGGTAGTTTCCTTCCCTAAAGGACATTAGTAAACCAGATAGGTTTTCCCTACAATCAACAATGGATTCATGGTCATCATTAGATTCTTAATTCCAGATATTTATTGAATTCAAATTTCACCATCTGCCATGGCGGGATTTGAACCTTGATCCTCAAAATGTTATCTGGGTCTCTGGATTGACAGTCCAGTGATAATACCACTAGGCTATTGCCTCCCCTCTGTAAATGGACATAGTTCACTCTGACACCATCTGTGAAATAAAATGAGTGACATATCTCCAAGTCAGGTTTATGTGTGGCTTGGAGGGGAACTTACAGGCGATGGTATTCCTGTGTACCTGCTGCCCTTGCCCTTCAGAATGGTTGTCATGGGTTTGGCAAATACTACCAAAAGAGCTTCGGAAATTTGTTCCAATACAACTTCTAAGGCGGAAGTTTAGATTAGTAGCAAAGCCTGATCCCGAAGTGTTTGTTTGACAGTCCCAAGTCTGGGTGGTTTAAAGTCAACATGATATCTACATCTCTGTTAGCCACGTCTCAATTTCTGAATTATCACCGAATGGTTTTGGGGGAAATGCTGCGTCATCGGAGGTGCCATCTTCTGGTTGCAATGTTAAACCAGGATCCCATCTCCCCGCCTTGGATGTTAAAGATCCAATAGCACGATTTTGCAATGAACAGGGTTTTATTCCCAGTGTTGTAACCAAATTTATTTCTTAATCAACGGATCAATTGATCATGTTGCTGTTTTTGGACCTTGCTACATGCAAGCTGCAGCCACAGGCTGCTGTGTTTCTTACATTACAGCAACGACTATTCTTCAAAATATGTTTAGTTGCCTGTGAATTACTTTAAGATGTCCTGAAGTTCATGAACAATCTATGAAAGTGCAAGTTTAATTTATGGTCTTTACATATAGTGTTAAAGACTATTTGCCAGATGAGTATTCCCACTTTTGCTTTGCTTTTTCACTTTCTCTTGTTTGCTTCAGAAATAAACTTTTATGAGGCTGCAATGCAAGAAGAGAATGAGGGTTTATTATTGCAAAAGCAATGTGTTTATTTCAAGTGAGTGCATTTTTAAAGCAAAAGCCAATGTCACTAATTCTCAGGAGACTAGTTTCCATTAACATTTTTAAACAAATCTTTTTTATTCCAGACTTTTCATCAATGAGACACATATGGAAGACCCTGTTGTGCGAGAACATTTGCAGCTCGACTGTGAGACAGCACCCGATTTCAAAATAAACATACTCCCCTATAATTCGATTCTGACTGAACTGCAGACAATTTGTTCCAACATGACTTGTAAGGAAAAAGTCTGGATCAGTAGCAAAGCCAGCTATGCTCTTTGTGAAGCAATCCCAAAGGTCTGTTGACAGTCAGTACTGTAATATTAATTTGTCAAAACCAAAAACAAATTTTTCAACCAGTAGCCAAGGATGCAGACTGCTGCTTTGTTAGTGAAACAGGTCCCCAAAGTGTTCTGCATGTATTTACATATTGAAGAAAAATTGAGAAAAATTGTCTTGAGATTGTAAAGCAGCAGAGTAAGGGTCTCTGGTGTAGTTTGTTGACCTGTCAGTGAGTCTCGGTTTAAATTCCAGGCTGCACTGATTTGGAAATTAATTTGACCACACTTTGCCAGGATTAGCATGGGTATCAGGCACTCTGGAGAAGAGCTCCACTTCAGTGAGCTGGGAAAATGTGCCCATCCAGAGAGCATCCCACATGAGCTTATTTTTAAACACAGAGTGGGTTTTACACCATATGGTTCAAGTGGAGATAAGCTGCAGCAGGAGGATAAACCGAGAAAATAACGCACAAGTGCCAGCAGACTGCTGATGGATGTTGCAAATGAGCTTCTAATCTCGAAATCATTTGCAGACTGGTACCTGTGGTTTGGGTTCCTGCAAGGTAATGTGTTCCTGAATGTGTTTGATTGCTGCTTGGAACTCTGAAAAGTTCAGACCGGGAGACCTGCTTGATGCACATACACATGTAGGGCATCTCTCCCACAAAATGCGAGTGCTTCGATAGCTAGTCTGGAAAGTTCCCTGCTCCCTTATGATTTACGTTGAGGTCACTTTAGTTTTAATAAGGTTCAGAAATTCTCCCTCCATCTGGTGATGAATGACACCTCTGGGGAAATACCTTTGCTTCACTTGAGGAACAGACCATGCTGTGACTCCATGAGTTTAGAGATGGAAAGCTGTGGAATTGGTTCTGCACCCGGCACTGTCTGAGTTTTACCTCGTTCAATTTGTCAGACTCCATCAGCTCAGTGTAACATAGTTTGTAAAATGGGAACTCATTACAAACTGATGCTTGTGATGCCAGCAGAATTTAGGCATTTTATAAACGAATGCAAATAGCTGGAAATATAAGTTGAACAAGCCCTGTTAGGGAACACACTATCACAAATGCCTGAAGATTCTCCAACTATGATCCGTCTTTCCATTTTTAGATGCCAGTTGATTAAACTTTTTCCAACCTTTTTCTGTTTATCTTTGAAGTTTTTAACGTCTACAACTTTTAAAATTTTTTATTTTCAGTTTTTTGTATTTTTAACGTCCTGTGTCTTGACGGTAGTTGTGTAAATGCTTAGAATTGCATTTGTTTCAACCAAAGACTGTAACCAAGTCTGTTTTTCTAAATATGCGTAGTAACCACAAAATGTTTCTACATCACATTGAAAGAATGTATATGTTTAAAGATAACAGTGTACTGATGGCAGGTGGGAATCTCTAGGTTTGTACACCCCTCAAATCACTGCACAGAGGATGTGACATCAAGCTGCTTTTGTTACTCAGTATTGGCAATGACAACAGTTGGTTGCCCTGGGGCATCGAAACACAGAAGATAGGAGCAGGGATAGTAGGAACTGCAGATGCTGGAGAATCCGAGACAACAAGGTGCAGGGCTGGATGAACACAGCAGGCCAAGCAGCATCATAGGAGCAGAAAGGCTGACGTTTCGGGCCTAGACCCTCGGAGCAGGGATGCCTCAGTGTGGAGCTGGAGGAGCACAGCAGGCCAGGCAGCATCAGAGGAGCAGGGAAGTTGACGTTTCGGGTCGGGACCCTTCCTCAGAAACTTTCCTCAGTCAACTTTCCTGCACCTCTGATGCTGCCTGGCCTGTTGTGCTCCTCCAGCTCCACTCTGTGTTATCTCTGACTCCAGCATCGGCAGTTCTTTCTATCTCAGATAGGAGCAGGAGTAGGTCATTCAACCCTTCAAACCTGCTCTGCCATTCATGGTGATTATGGCTGTTCTCTGAGCTCAATAGTCTAATCCCGCGTGTGTTCATATCTTTGTTCTTCAGCACTGGCATGACGTTTAACAGCCCAGAACTCAGCACACTTCAACAGGATGAAAATTACAGGAAAGCTCAGCAGCTTAGACACTAAATGAAGGAGATTATATCCAAGCTGCAGGGTATTTCCAGTTTGACCATTTCTTAACCTCCAATTTTCAATTTTTGCTACTTGTCTTTAAATCTTTATTATAGTTGCACGCTGTGCTAACCTGATATTTAAGAATTATAGAGTATCCTCCCAAGTGTTTGCATTTCTGATTGGAAGTTCAGAAAGAAAAACAAAAAAAAAAAAAAATTCTCTATATTTTTTCTCTTCCTGCTGTCCCTCAAAAAAAACCCCAAAATCATCCTGGCTTTCCCCTCTCATTTTGGGATGTCAGTGACTCTTGTCATTTTTTCTCTAATGGATTTTATTCAGGCTTTCAATAAGGTCCCTCATGGTTGGCTCATCCAGAAGATTAAGATGCATGGGATCCACAGTGACTTGGCCACTTCGATTCAGAATTGGCTTGCCTATAGAAGGCAGAGGGTAGTGGTAGAAGGGTGTTTTCAGGCTGGAGGTCCATGACTAGTGGTGTTCTGCAGGGATCCGTACAGGGATCTCTGCTGTTTGTGATATATATAAATGACTTGGATGAAAATGTAGATGGGTGGGTTAGTAAGTTTGCAGACGATACAAAGATCGATGGAGTTGTGGATAGTGTAGAAGGTTGTCAAAGGATACAGTGGGATATAGATCAGTTGCAGATATGGACAGGGAAATGGCAGATGGAGTTTAATCCGGGTAAGTGTGAAGTGCTGCACTTTGGGAGATCAAATGTTAAGGAAAAGTAGACAGTTAATGGCAGGACACTGAACAGCATTGATGTATAGAATGATCTTGGGATTCAAGTCCACTGCTCCCTGAAAGTGGCCATGCAAGTAGATAGGGTGGTAAAGAAGGTGTGTGCCATGCTTGCCTTTACTGGTTGGGGAATTGAGTACAAGAGTCAGGATGTCATGTTGCAGCTTTATAAGACTTTGGTTAGGCTGCACTTAGAGTATTGCATTCAAATCTGGTTGCCACATTACAGGAAGCATGTGGAGGCTTTGGAGAGGGTGCAGACGAGGTTTACCAGGATGCTGCCTGGATTAGAGGATACGAGCTATAAGGAGAGGCTAGAAAAACTCGGGTTGTTTTCTCTGGAGCAGCAGAGGCTAAGGGGAGACTTGATAGAAGTCTATAAAATTATGAGATGCATAGATAGGGTTGATGGTCAGAATGTTTTTCCCAGAGTTGAAATGTCTAAAACCAGGAGGCATGTATTTAAGGTGAGAGGGGAAAAGTTCAAAGGAGATGTGAGGGGCAAGTTTTTTACACAGAGTGGTAGGAGTGTGGAATGCGCTGAGGGGTGGTGGAGGCAGATATGACAGGGACAGTTAAGAGATTTTTAGATAAGCAATTTAATATGCATGGAATGGAGGGATATCGACCAAGGGCAGGCAGAAGGGATTAGTTTAATTTGACCTCATGTTCAGAATGGTGGGCCGAAGGGCCCATTCCTGTGCTGTACTGTTCTCATTTCTATGAATGAAAGCAGACCTAAGCCAGCAACTCACCATGCTACCAAGTGCAAACCTAATTCTCTTTAAGTACCTACGATGACAGCAATAATATTGCACTTACAAGTTGGTGCAGTTGTGCTCCTACTAGTATCAGCATGCCAAAAATCCTAATTACTATCTGGTTACTGATCTATGGTGTCACTAATTGAAACTATAGTACAAATAGGGCTATGAGCAAAGTAAGTTGACTCTTAACTGCCCTCTGGGTAATTAGGGATGGGCAATAAATGCTGGCCTAGCCAGCGATGCCCTCATCCTGTGAACGCATAAAGCAAAGTTTTTTGTTTTGATTTTAACAGAGGCTCAGACTGCAGACTGTTTACACCCCCATCTGCATTGCAAAAGCTCTCAAGAATCCAACAGAAATCAAAGGGATGAGACAAGCTCATGTGAGTAATAATTTTAATCATGCTTGCTCTCTATAACCTCTACCAGCATCAGCAATTTGAGATGATATTTAAATGTAAACTGCACACATCAATGTCACCTATTATAACTGTTACCTGGCTACTACTCATATTGCTTCTTGTGGGATTTGATGTGTATAAGTTATCATTGGATTTCGCACAAGCCAAGGTCCACATGTTGCCTTGTCACGTCTTCTAAAATGAACTGTAAATTAAAGAAAAACAGTGAGAAGCAAGTTAGCAAGGATAATTTACTGGGAATGAAGTTTTTTTTTGTTTTTGTTTGCTTATTTTTAGATTAAAGATGCTGTGGCTCTCTGTGAGCTGTTTACCTGGCTTGAGAAGGAGGTAAGAAAGTTTCTGATTGTTCATATTGGCATCTGTGTTATTTCTGGGATAAATATCCAGGGTCTTTCACACTCTTACTGTGGGACCTCTGCTGACTGTCTATCACAAGACACGGTGTAGACTAAATCACAAACAACTTGTGCTAGGTAAATCATATCAAGCTACTGTAGTTTTGTTTTACTTTTTAACATTCTCACTATTTCTGGAATAGTTATTGAGATTTATTGTTGCAGGTTCCAAAGGGCAACATAACTGAACTGGATGCTTCAGACAAAGCAGCTGAATTCCGCAGGTAAGTCTTAATGCTGTAACCATTTTAGTGTAAGTCTCTGTGTAACAGAATCATTTTACAGAAACCCAAATCCCATATGTTCGTGTGTTGCTACTTGGGAGCATTAGGGAATCATCTCATGGTTAGGATACCTTACCTTTCTTCCATTGCTGATTTTAGGTTCTCTGCTTGAATGGAATCATAGTATGTTAGAATATGCAAAGCACTAGTTGGACCATGCAAAAAATACTGTGAGTAGTTTCGTCTCCTAATCTAACCAAAGAGATGTGTGCCTGGCTGCGTACATGACAGTCCACAGAAGGTTCGCTGTGTTCAACCTGGGTATGGAGGGATTTTCTTACGAAGCAAGGTTGAGAAGGTTGGACTTGTATTCATTGGAGTTTAGAAGACTAAAAGAAGACCTTATTGAAACATACAAGATTCTTAAGTCTGCTTTACAGGGTAGATGTGGAGAGGTTGTTTCCCCTTGTGGGAGAGTCTAAGACTAGAGGGCATCATCTCAGAATTAGGATGTCATCCTGTTAAGACAGAGATGAGGCGGAATTTCTTCTCTGAAGGTTATCGATCTGTAGAATTCTTTACCACAGAGGACTGTCGAGGCTGGGCTGTTTAATATATTCAAGGCTGAGACAGACTTTTAATCAGGAAGGGAATCAAGCTTTAGTGGGGAATATCATAAAAGTGGGGTTGAGGGTTATCAGATCAGCTGGCTGGTGGAACAGACTGAATGGGCCTGAATGGCCGACTTCTGCTACTCCATCTTGTGGTCTTATGGGAGCTTGAAATTTGGAATTATAGCAATTTACAGCACAGAGAGAAGCCGTTGATCCCATTATACTTTTGCTAGTGTTAAAACAAAAGTGCTGTCCAGCTTAATGTTACTTTTTAGCTCTTGGTCCATCCCCCTTTTGGTTATGGTACATCAAGTGCACATTCAAGTACTTTTTAAATGTAATGTGGGTTTCTGCTTTGCGCAGTTTTAGCTAGTCCATTCCAGACACATGCGCGCACGCAGAGGTAAAAGCTCCCCTCAACACCCCTCTAATTTTTCTGTCAGTTACTATAAATCTATGCACCCTTGTTAATTGACCTGTGTGCTAAGGGAAGTAAATCTTTTCTGTTAACTTCTTCCAGACCCCTAATTTAATTTACCTCCATTAAACCTCTGTTCAGTCTCCTGAAAAGAAACAACCTCAGCCTGTCAGATGTTTATAAGTATTAAATGTTGAAGTAAAACTGTGACTTTTGTTGAACACAAACAAAACCCAATTTCAGTCAACAGAAACCAATCTAATTTGGGATTCTCAAGCTGCCAGTAAATAATCTTGCAAATGTCTGGTGATGTACAATTTAATGTGATTTACTTGGTCACCATAAATCAGTACCACTGGTTAATTAGCCAGTGTATATTCCAAAGATCTCTAAATAATGTGATTCTTCTCTGTAAGCACATGCAGCTGATATCATTCTGTGCCTGTAATCTATTTGCTCAAATTTATGTTTTCATTTTGTGAGCCTGGAGGCTTGCAGTCAATATCGCTGCTACATTGTGCTGATTTATGGGGATCTTTAAATATAGGCAAACTAATGGAACTAAACTGAGTCTGCAGCAGGGAGTGAGGAAATCAACAAGAAGGAGAAACATACTTGACCTCATCCTTACTAATCTGCTGGCTGCAGATGCATCTGCCCATGACAGTATTGGGAAGAGTGACTGCCAAAGAAGACCTGACTTCACATTGAGAATACCCTCCATCATGTTGTGTGGCACTATCACCGTGCTAAATGGGGCAGAGTTCAAACAGATCAAACAACTCAAGACTTGGCATCGATGAGGCCATCAACAGCAGCAGAATTGTACTCCAGCACAATCTGCAATCTCATGGCCCGGCATATCCCCCACACAACCATTTCCATCAAACCAGGGCATCAACCCTGGCTCAATGGAGAGTGCAGGAGGGCATGCCAGGGGCAGCACCAGGCAGAACTGAAGATGAGGTGCCAGCTGGTGAAGTAACCAAACAGAACTACTGCACGCCAAACAGCATAAGCAGCAAGTGATAGACAGAGCTAAGTGATCCCACAACCAACCAATCAGATCTAAGGTCTGCAGTCCTGTCACATCCAGACGTGAATGGTGGTGGACAATTAACTCACAGAGGGTGGAGGCTTCACAAATATCCCTATTCTCAGTGATGGAAGAGCCCAAAACATCAGTGTAAAAGATAAGGCAGAAGTGCCGAGTGGATAATCCCCAGCATCACAGATACCAATCAATGTGATATCAACAAACAGTTGAGACACTGGATACTGTAAAGGCTATGGATTCTGACAGCAATAGTACGGAGACTTGTGCTCCAGAACTTGCCGCTCCCTTCGCCAAGCTCTTCCAGTACAGTTGTAACACTGGCAGCTACCTAACAATGGAAAATTGTCTGGATATGTCCTGTACACAAAAAGCAGGACAAATCCAACCCGGCCAATTACCGCCCCATCAGTCTACTCTCAATCATCAGTAAAGTGATGGAAGGTGTCAGTAATAGTGCTATCAATAGTGCTCAGCAAAAACCTGCTCAGCAACGCCCAACTTGGGTTCCGCCAGGGCCACTCAGCTCCTGACCTCATTACAGCCTTGGTTCATGCATGGACAGAAGAGCTGAATTCCAGAGGTGAGGTGAGAGTGACAGCCCTTGACATCAAGACTGCATTCGACCAGATGTGACCCCTAGTGAAATTGGAATCAGTGGGCATCAGGTGGTTGGAGTCATACCTGGCACATAGGAAGATGGCTTTGTTTTTGGAGGTCAGTCATCTCAGCTCCAGGACATCTCTGCAGGAGTTCCTCAGGGTAGTGGCCTCGGCCCAACCATCTTCAGCTGCTTCATCAATGACCTTCCCTCCATCATAAGGTCAGAAGTGGGGACGTTCACCGATGATTGCACAATGTTCGGCACCATTCACAACTCTCAGATACTGAAGTAGTCCATGTTCAAATGCAGCAAGATCTAAACAATATCCAGAATTGGGCTGACAAGTGGCACGTGACATTTGTGCTGCACACGTCAGTCAATGATCATCACCAAAAAGAGATAATCTAACCACAACTCCTCGACATTCAATGGTGTTAGCATCATTGAATCCCCCACAATCCACATCCTCGGGGTTACCATTGACTGGAAACTCAGCTGGACTTGCCACATAAACACAGTGACAACGAGAGACTTCGAGTTTTTTGAAGAGGTAGGCAAGTGAATGGATGAGGGTAGGGCAGTGGATGTTGTCTATATGGACTTTAGTAAGGCCTTTGACAAGGTCTTGCATAGCAGGCTAGCTATGAAGCTAGGTTGCATGGGATCCAGGGAGATCTAGCTAACTGGATTCAAAATTGGCTTGATGGTAGGAAGCAGAGGGTGATGGTTGAAGGTTGTTTCTCGGACTGGAGGTCTGTGACTAGCGGTGTGCCACAGGGATCGCCGCTGGGACCTTTGTTGTTTGTTATTTATATAAATGATCTGGATGTGAATGTACAAGGCATGATTAGTAAGTTTGTGGATGATACAAAATTTAGGAAGTATTGTTGGAAGTGAAGGAGGTTATCAAAAATTACAGAGGGGTCTTGATCAGATGGGGAAGTGGGCTGAGGATTGGCAAATGCAATTCAACACAGATAAGTGTGAGGTGTTGCACTTTGGAAAGTCAAACTAAGGTAGGACTTATACAGTAAATGGTAAGGTCCTAAAGAGTGTTGTGGAACAAAGGGACCTAGGAGTACAAGTACATAGTTCAGTGAAAGCAGCGTCACAGATAGACAGCGTGATGAAGAAGGCATGTAGCATGCTGGCCTTCATCGGTTGAGGTGCTGAGCATAGGAGTTGGGATGTTATGTTACAGTTGTGTAAGTCATTGGTGAGGCCGCACTCGGGAGTATTGTGTACAGTTTTGGTCATCCTGTTATAGGAAAGACATAGTTAAACTAGAAAGTGTGCAAAGAAAAGTTAAAGGATGTTGCCAGGACTAGTAGGCCTGAGTTATGTGAAGAGGTTGGCCAGGATAGGACTTTATTCCTTGGAATGTAGGAGAACGAGGGTTGACCTTATTGAGGTGTATAAAATCATTAGGGGCATAGACAGGATGAATGCATATAGTCTTTTTTTCCCCCAGGGATGGGGAATTGAAAACTAGAGGGCATAGGTTTAAGGTGAGAGGGGAAAGATTTAAGAAGGACCTGAGGGGCAACTTCTTCACACAGAGAGTGGTGTGTTTATGGAATGGGCTGCCAGAGAAAGTGGTTGAGGCAGGTACAGTAGCAACATTTAAAAAGCATTTGGACAGGTACATGGATGGGAAAGGTTTGGAGTGATAGGGACCAAATGTAGACAATTGGAATTAGCTGAGTAGCTACTATGGTCAGCATGGACCAGTTTAGGCTTAAGGGCCTGTTTCCATGCTGTATTACTCTATGACTCTAAGAGCAGGTCAGAGGCCAGGAATACTGCAACGAGTAACTCACCTCGTGACTCCCCAAAGTCTATGTGTCATCCACACGACACAAGTCAGGAGTTTGATGGAATACTCCCCACTTGACTGGATAGATGCAGCTCCAACAGCATTATCCAGGACAAAGCAGCCCACTTGATTGGCACTACATCTCAAGCATTCACTCCCTTCCCCACCAACACTCAGCAGGAGCTGTGTGTGCTGTTTACAAGATGCACTGCAGAAATTTACCAAAAATTTACTGAAGACAGCACCTTCCAAATCCGTGACCACTTTCATACAGAAGGACAAATGCAGCAGATACATGGGATCACCATCACCTGCAAGTTCCACTCACCATCCTGACTTTGAAATATACCACCATTCCTTTGTTGCTGGGTCACAATCTTTGAACTTCCTCCCTAAGGGCGTTGTGGGATGGGCAATAAATGCTGCTCAGCCAGTGATGCCCATGTCCCATGAATTAAAAAAAGGACAAAGGTTTACATCTTCGACTTCCCAGATGGAATTAAACTTTTTCTTGGATACCTGAGAGCAGCAGGATTGTAATCTTGTTCTTCCTTGTTGGCCTACTCAAAGAAAAGCTTACTTCACTGGGAATTACAGCTGTTTGCTGAGTGAGGGGTTAACTGCAGCAAAGCGGGGGACACTGAAGAATGAGTTAGACTCAATCTTGAGCTCTATCCTTTACTGAATTTGAAAGCTGCATGGATGGCCGATTATTGGAAGGCCAAGTTGATTACCTGTCAGGATCGGTACATGATCCAGAACGTTTAGCATGGGTGCAGGGAATAAAATATATTATGCATCAAGGTTAGGTTGCAGTTTCCATCTACAGTGCCCTCATAATTCAATGCCTTTTTTGTACCAATCATGCAACTGTTCAGTAATCTTAAACAAGCAATGAAAATAACATGGTATTGTGGGCTTTTAGCATTACGTTTTTAGACTAGGTGGAATTTACTGTAGATGATGTATGTTTAGAGCAAGTAGGATTTGGCATTTTGGCTCAGAGGCAGGGACAGTGCTGCTGTGCTATTAGAGCCCTCTGGAATTGATTGTGTCCTGTTTTTCAATGCACATTATCTTAAAGACAAAAACATCACGTGAGTTTAGAGCTGATTTTGGGATTGAGAAATTGGATGATTGAACAAAATACAGATTTGTTAAAAAGTAATCAATTATTTTGAACATCTTCTAATGTATTTAGTATTGAGTTCTGCATTAAAAGAATGGATTTCAAAATATAACCAGTTTTAATTAATTCTTTTATGTATATTTTTCAGGCAACAAGAAAAATTTGTAGACTTGAGTTTCACCACAATTTCTAGCACTGGACCAAACAGTGCAATCATTCACTACAGGTAAAACAACAGCATTGACTGACCCATTGGAATGTTTCATTACTGACATCTATGCTGAATCATTAAAAGAAGTCTCGAAAAGCAGAAGGTTCTGTCTTAGAATCCATCCTTTCTGAAGGCAAAATTGTAGAGTTCTCAGTATATACAAAATATGATTTAAAAATTGTGTTAAAAAACAAAGGCAACATAGTGTGGAACTGGAGGAATACAGCAGGTCAGACAGCATCATCAGAGGAGCAAGATAGTCGACATTTCGGGTCGACTTCAGATATTGGTCATGAAAATAATGGAATTTAAAAGCATTGCAAAAGCAAGGATAAACACTGAGGTAGAAAAGGACAGGGAAAGGCCATTTGGTCCATTCAAGTCTGACATTATTTCTGATTGGCTTTCTGATTTATTCCTGAGGCTGTTGCTGTGAAAATCCTGAACAATTGATCAGAAAGTGAGCAAATATGTTATAGTGTCGCCTCACTGTGCATTTGATATCATGTATTCATTAAAAAAAGTTGTATTGCTTTAGAACTGAAATGCTGCTGTAGCTGTGATCTATTTCACTCATGCAGAGTGGAGACTAAAGAGAATTCTGACCAGATAGACAATTTTTGCAGAGGTCTGATACTTTTTCTAAATGAAAGACAATAGGATCATACGTAAAGCTTCAGCTGATGCTGAAGAACAAGGCTCAGTTTCATTACCTGGTTTCTTCACTGGCATACTGCAGTACCCCTTGAAGTTAGATTGTCCATTCCTTGTAGATGATGGACAGGCTTTGGAGAGACAGGAGGTGGGTTACTCACTCACTGCTGGATTATGAGCCTTCGACCTTCTTTTGTAGCCACTGTGTTTATATGGTGAGTCAGTTCCTGTTGCAAGGAAAATCGAAGTGCAGCGTTATAAATACTCGTGCTTGAAGCTTATTTAAATTTCAAACTTGTTTTAACTTTTAGGCCCACCCAACATACAAACAGAACTTTATCGATGAGTGAAATCTATCTTTTGGATTCTGGCGCCCAGTATAGGTAAGACCATTGCATCAAATTAGATTGTCTAAGGACTGCACTAAAATGATTTGTGAATGTGATTTATATAAAGTCCTTTGTTATTTCGTAAGGGAAGAGAACGGCTCATTTCTATTGCATCTTTTCATGTCGTTGAAAAGCAACGTAAATGCTTTGTAGAACTGACTTTTGAACTTACATTTGTATGAATTGACTTGAGTAATTAAGCTTATTTTTGCACAGAAATATCTCATAAATATCAATGCGGTGACTGACTACTTCTCTTTTTTTGATGGAGAGAGAAATATTGACAACACGGTACCTTTCTTTTTAAAAACTGCAGTATGATTTTTTTTAAATTTTTGGTGCACAGCCAGACAATGCTTTGATTTAAAGTCTTGTCAAAAGGATGATGTATGATCATGGATCATTTCTTTTTGATTGCACAAAAGTAACACCCTGTCTTGCGTTCTAAAGTCCTTCAGTGAGACTTGAGCCCATACATTTCAATTGAGGAGAGAGTGCTTCCAAGCCTGGGTGAGCAGATGCCCATAAACTGACAGGTGGAGAATTTCAGTGCCTCATGTTGCCCTTGAGGTGACCCTCCTTCAGTTGACTACATTCCATAAAGTCAAAAACAGAAATTGATGAAAAAACTGAGCAGATCTGGCAGCGTCTATGGAGAGAAAGCAGAGTTAATATTTCGGGTTGAATGATTCTTCCTCAGAACGGTTCTGAGGAAGGGCCACTCGACTTGAAACATTAACTCTACTTTCTCTCCTCAGATCCTCTCAGACCTTCTGAGCTTTTCCAGCAATTTTTGTTTTTCTCTCTGATTTCCAGCATCTGCAGTTCTTTTGGTCTTTCTTGTCCATAAAGTCAACTCGCTGACATTGTCGGCCCATGGAAATCCTCAGCCATAATCCTGCCGTTGGGGTGACACAACCAACTTTTACCATTCTCGCTTAGACACAGTCTCCTGATTGTTTACTGACTGTGGGGTGCCAGGTAATTGCATTCACTGAAAGGTACTTAACCAGTTTGAATGGGCACGTGGGAGAGCTATACTCTGATGCTGTCAATGTGTAGACTCTACCTGTTGGAATGCTGCAGTTCAGTGCAAGAAAATTTCCTATGTTAATAGTCATTTGTTTTCGAAAGAGAATTGGCCTTGACATCAATGTCAGAGCCATAGAGTTGTACAGCACGGCAACAGACCCTTTGGTCCAACCCATCCCATCTTATTGGTTTAGATATGTAGCGTGCGTACTGCTGTTTGGGCTTTTCCTGCTGTTGCTGCCTTATGAAAGAGAGCAAGAAGTGCTTGTCATGGAAAAGGATAAGGTCCAAAGGTGCTTCACATCAAAAGCATGATGACAGTCCATGTTATGCAGTCTGAAGACTTGACCATGTTGTTGCCTTGGACTTGGACATTGCTTGCTTTAAGGCTCTAATTTCTTGAGCACATAATCTGTTGCTGAGAGAGCACTGCACTGTCAGCAGTGGTATCTTTTGGAGGAGCTGTTAATCTGAGATTCTGCTCAGTAGGAGAGGCAGGAAAGAGACTGTTTTGAAGAATTGAAGGGAGTTCTCCCATCATTGTGGTCAACATTGATTTTCAATGAAAAAGATCAAAATAGATTTGCTGGTTATTTCCTTTATTACTGTTTGTGAGCCTTATATATATTTCCTATTTCACATATACTTTATCTAATATTATCGTATCTTGCAGCTTTAATAAAGCCACCTCTCATTGTAAGTGCAAGTGTAGAGTTTGTTTTTTTTAGATTGACAGTCATTGCTTCATTGCAGGGATGGCACAACCGATGTCACACGGACAATGCATTTTGGCACTCCGACCGAGTATGAGAAGGTACGTGACCTTATTTGTGAGCACCAGTGTAGCATTGACTGGATAACTGCGCTGCCAAAGATGCCACAAATGAAAGGTTACACCCGTCTGGAAAAAGCTTCTCTTAAAAGGGAAAGCTAACGGGTGACCCAATAGACGTCTTTAAAGCTATAAAAGTTTTTGATAGTTGAGATTAGTGAGTTTCAACCAGTGTGCCATGTCAAGGTGAGAAGAGTGTTGAGTAATTTTGAGGAAGCAGCTCTGCTTTATCTGAGCATTGATACTGTGTCTATGCCCCAATTTCCACCAAAGAATTATACAGCACAGGAACAGGCCCTTTGGCCCACTAAACCTACACTGATTCCTAGTCTTTATTTAGACCCACTACTTATTGCCCATACATGGTTTCTATCCTTCTGTTCATCTGTCTATCAAGATATGGCTTAAACGTTGCTAATATGCCTGCTTCCACTGCCTCCACTGGCAGTGTGTTGTGCGCACCCTGCCACCCTCTGCGTGAAACATATTCCCTGCTCTTCTGTTATTGAAGGCAGTATATGCTGACACAGGTGCCATTATCCAGAGCCACATGTGCATCGACTCCTGGTACAGTGTGTGTGGTGTGTGTGGTCTATGCAAAACTGCAGGAGAGAGTGCATGTTCGTGGGGCAGGATTGGCGGGTAGCCCTCTCATCCATTTCTCCCTTGTTGAAGGGGCTCTGCACGTGCTGACAGCCCCAGGTTTCCCACTAACCCGGGAAATGACAATTTACTCTTTTGTTCTGATTCATGAACAATCTGAAATTGTTGAGTTGAGCGGATTTTGAAAATGTGCTTGCAGTCAAGGATGGTGTGTTTTTTCCAGTAGATTTGAAACATTAATTCTTTAGATCCTTCTTTATCTTTGCACTGTGTTGCAAACCTCTCGTGTAAGGCCATAATCAAAGTAAATGCAAGTAAATGTGACATTTATGATCAATCAGTTCAGCTGGTGAAAGTGGATGCGCTGTAGAATTGTCTCAATGAAGTGTACCATGTTACTGGAAAGGTTGGGAACTACTGATCTAAATGGAGAGAGAGAACTTCCCCTTGTGGGGAAAATCTACTGGATCTGAAGTACTTCACACAGTATTGGTCACCTTATTTAAGGAAAGCTATAAATGTGTTGGAGACAGTGAAGGAAAGATTTATTAAATAAATGACGGTGAGGAAAGATTAGACAGGCTGGGCTTATATCCACTGGAGTTTAGAAGAGTAAGAGACAACAGATTGAAACATATAAGATCCTGAAGGGGTCTTATCCGGGGCTGGACGTGGGGCGCAGAAAATGGAGAAGATGTTTCTTCTTGTGGGAGAATCCACTGTTTAAAAAATAGTGGCCACCCACTTAGAACAAAGTTGAGGGAATTTTATTTTCCTGAGGTTTGTGTGTCTTTGGAACCCTCTGTGAAAAGCTGGTGGAAGCAGGGTCCTTGAATATTTTTAATGCAATGATAGATTCTTGTTCAGCCAGGAGGGATGAAAAGTTATCTGGGGTGTGCAGCAATGTGGATTTGAGCTTACAGTCAGATCAACCATGATCTTATTGAATGCTCGAAGGGCTGAAGGGACTACTCCTATTTGTATATCATAGAGTCATAGAGATCTAAAGCACAGGAAAAGGTCCTTTGGCCCACTGAGTCTGTGCCAGGCAAAAACAACCACCTAACTATTCTAATCCCATTTTCCAGCACTTGGCCCATAACCTTGCGTTATCTTGGTGCTGCAGTGCACATCTAAATACTTTTAATCTAACTAACTTTTTCCTTACATCCCCTCTAAATCTCCTGCCCCTTACCTTCAATCTATGCCCCCTGGTCATTGATCCCTCAATCAAGGGGAAAAGTTTCTTCCTGTCTACCCTGTCTATGCCCCTTACAATTTTATGCATTCCAATCATGTCATCCCTCAGTCTCGTCTACTTTAAAGATAAAAACCCCAAACTGTTCAGTCTCTAATACATACTACATGTACATTCTTAAAACTAATAGGCGTCAATTGATGATAGTCAACAAGAAATCAATTACGGAATTCCACAGAAAATTCTTTTCTCTGAGAGTGGTGAGAACATGGAATGCACTGCTGTATGAATATGTTGAAGTGAATAGCATGGATGTGTTTATGGGAGAGGTAAATCAGCACATGACAGAGAGGGGAAGTGAGGATTTTGTGAAGAATTAAGTAAGGAACCATAGGAGAAGGTTTGAGGGCATTGTAAATGAACTGGTTACATGAACCTGGGCTGCATGCTCAATGTAATTTTATGTAATGCTATTTTTAACATTAACTTTGAGGTTTTGACCAGATTTTGCAATTATCTTGAGAGGGTTAGCAATTAACATTACTACAATTTGATGGATAGGGAATGTACAGTTCATTAGGAGAATATTTTATATTCTGTATATAATGTAGTTGAATGCATGCAATTATTTAAAAAAGAACTTTCAGAACTTCTAGCAACTATAGCACATGTTCGTGCTGACATGGTTTATTTGTCCTCTTGTCTTCAGGAGTGCTTCACTTATGTGTTGAAAGGACATGTCTGTTTGGGTTCAGCGATTTTCCCAAGTGGTACCAAAGGTAAGCTAGTTTGGTTCAGGTGGCAGTATTATGAAAAAGACTAATCTGTTTTCTCTGTGTAAATCTTGGGGCAGAGTAGGTTGGGTTGCTGGGAACCAGCAGTGAGTATTGACTAACTTTGTGGTGCAAGGTGCTTTTTTTGGTTTCTTTCCTGATGATTGTTCCTGTTAAAAAAAAATGAGGAAGAAGATTAACTCGTGGATGGTGTTGGCTGATGGGCTGCATCTTTGTGGAGACTTGTTCACATACTTCCACTTATACTAGAAGATGATATCAAAAGTTATTTGTTGAAATCTATACCTGATCAGGAGGAAAGCTTTCTTTCAGCTAAACCAAGAAATTGGTGAATCTTTAAAAAGCTATTGATATAACGGAAATCTCGGCTGAATTTTAATTTGAATTTGTTTGAACTAAGTTGATGCCCATCAAACATCAGCTTGTATTTAAACTGTAGAAATAGATTTTTTTACAAGAAAACTATTTGTTGCCTTAACTGAGGATTAAATTTGCATGGTTGGCAATAGTTTATAATCATTCGGGGAGAGGGTTCTTGTGGCCTGGGTTCAAATCCCACCTTCTCCAGAGGTGCATCATAATGTGTCTAAACAAGTCAGTTTAAACTTCAGTTAAAATTAGATCATTCAGATGTAGCTGGGAAGCAATATATTGATGTTGACAAAGAGGAGGCTGGAACAACACAGCAAGTCAGGTAGCATCTGAAGGAAAGGAGAACGATACCTGGCTTGCTGTGTTCTTCTAGCCTCCTGTTTGTCTACCTTGGATTCCAGCATCCGCAGTTTTATTTGTGTCTAATATACTGATGTTACTTGTTTGCAAAATACAGATCAACATCTGAGATGTAGTGGGATTGCAGAGCTGGCAACTAAAATGGCAAGCCACAGAGAGGACAGTGTATTAAAGTAGTCACTACAGTGCAGAGTGCAGTGAATACGTGAGATTGGCTTCAGCATATCTGTGTCTTATTGGGAAAGTGGGTTCAGGCACTTTAAATCAAAGCAAAATACTGCAGATGCTGGAAATTGGAAACAGAAGTGCAAAATGCCGGAGAAACACAGCAAGTGTGGCAGCATCTGTAGAGAGAGAGAAACAGAGTTAATGTTTCCAATCCAATATTGACTTCTTTAGAACGTCTTGATTTTTTGCAAGGACTTTAGTAAAAGATGAAATGTGAATTCTGGTGCATTTCAGCTTGATGTGTACATTTTAGCATCCATGCTGTTTTAAACAGCTGAATAGCTTCCATACTCCAAATGACTAAGCAGCTGACCAGCCAGCTGCAGTGTTCCTGAACACTAATCCAAACTTGGGATATCTGTATCTACCAGCAGTACAGCTAGGCCTAGTCTCTCATATCAGCTTCCAATTCTGTTCACTCCTCCTCCCTCCCCAGCCTGTGCTTTCAAGGTGTTAAGCATTTGTCCCAGTCCATGCACCAACAACTTGCACTGACACTGAGCTTTGAACATGAAGTATAACACACGGTGCTTCATTTACGTGTGTAAGAAAAATGGAAGCTGCAATAGAGAAGGTCTAGCAGGTGGGGTGGGAAAGAAATGTAGAGGTTGAGGGAGATGCAGAAGTGTGGCTCTGAAATTTTGGAAGTGTATGAAGTGCACAGAGGATTGGCTGGAGGAGAGCAGCATTTGAAAAGTTCAGGGGTAGGGTGAGGAAAGTTTGTGAGAGGTAATTTACAGATGTAAATCATGATTTTAAGCTCTGGTGGCCTGGAGCCATGAATGAATATAATTACTGAGTTGTTGGACAAACAGGGCAGTGTGGGCAAGAGAGGATACTGTACATGTAAACTATTGCACTGACATCCTGTTTTGTGAGCTCCAGAATTTTTTCATTTGTCACGACTATAAAGCAGATAAATGGACCCTACGTTCTTTTCTTAGAAACGTCTTCTTTAATAGAGCCCCGCAATCATACCTGGTTCAAATTCTGTGAAACATCAGTGTTTTATAGTGAATTCATGTCAAAAGCCAGCAGCCCACTAATGTCCTTGCACAAGAGCTCCTTCACCATATGTATATATGTTGGGTATATATATTATAAACAATACACTTAAGTATGTTCACTTCCGCTCTGCTCCTCCCTGCCAGGGCACCTTCTCGACTCTTTTGCCCGAGCAACTCTTTGGGATCATGGTTTGGATTACCTGCATGGAACGGGACATGGAGTAGGATCTTTCCTGAATGTCCATGAGGGGCCGTGCAGTATTAGTTACAAAACATTTGCAGATGAGCCTCTTGAGGCTGGAATGATTCTGAGTGATGGTGAGTAAAGGTGATAGACGATTTTAATTATTGTACGTGATCCAAGCCCATGAGAAAAGGATGCTTATGTCCCACAATTGAGAGAAGTCTGCACGATCCAACACCAGGGAAATGCAACTTGTTCAGCACTTTGCTTGAAAACTGCTTTCTTTTGTGAGTAAGTGCAGTTGTTTGGGCTCTCTGAAAATACACTATTGACCGTGTGTGATGAATGTGAACAATGTGCTAACCATCTGTATTTAGTATGCGTTATAATATGACACTGAGCAAAAAAATGAATTTTTTTTAAAAATCCACAAGAGATTGCAGTGTTGATTTTCTGTCACCAGATGCCAGTATATCATAACCTTTGAATCATCAATTATACTGAAGATTCTTCTTTTGTGTTGCAAAATTCTACAAACCCCTTGTTATACATTTTTTGTTTAAAAATTTAGTTCCACAACTTGACTGCTATTCTTCAGTCTCTCTGTGGGTTGCACTGACAGAATTAGGAATAGGAGTAGGCCATTCGGTCTTTTGAACCTGCTATGTCATTCAATATGATTGTGGCCGATCATCCAATTCAGTGCCTTGCTCCTGCATTCCCCGCCAATACCCTTTGATTCCTTTAGCCCTAAGAACTATATTTAAGACCTTTTTGAAAGCGTTGAGTATTTTGCCATCAACCACTAGCTCACCACTCTCTGGGTGAAGAAATTTCTTCTCATCGCAGTCCTAAGTGGTTTACTGCATATTTTTAAACTGTGACCCCTGGTTCTGGACTCCCTAGCCATCCGGAACATTGTTGCTGAGTTTACCTTGTCCAGCTCTGTTCAAATTTTACAGATTTCTGTGAGAATCCCCCCTCCCCCAATTCTTCTAAACTCCAGTGAATATAATCCTAATTACTCCAGTCTCTCTTCATCCTTCAGCCCTGCCATCCCAGGAATCAGCCTGATAAACCTTTGTTGCACTCCGTCTGTAGCTAGAACATCCTTCCTCAGATAAGGAGACCAAAATTGCACACAGTAATCCAGGTACCGTCTCACCAAGGCCCTGTACAATCATTCCTACTCTTTGTTTCCTGTCTGACAACCAGTTTGTATATCCATGTCAGTACAATGCGCCTAATTCCATACACTTTAATTTTACATACTAATTTCTTATGTGGGACCTTATCATAGAATCATAGAATCCCTACTGTGTGGAAACAGGCCCTTCGGCCCAACAAGTCCACACCGACCCACAGAGCATCCCACCCAGACCCATCCCCCTAATCTACACATCCCTGAACACAGGGTAATTTAACATGGCCAGTCCACCCTAACCTGCACATCTTTGGACTGTGGGAGGAAACCCACACAGACACGGGGAGAATGTGCAAACTCCACACAGTCAGTCGCCCGAGGGTGGAATCGAACCCTCTGGCACCGTGAGGCAGCAGTGCTAACCACTGTGCCATCATGCTATCAAAAGCTTTCTGAAAGTCCAAGTAAACCCTATCGACTGGATCCCCCTTATCAACTCCACTTGTTACATCCTCAAAGCATTTCCGTAGATTTGTCAAGCATGATTTTGCTTTTGTAAATTAATACTGACTTTCACTGCCCAGGGAATTTCTCATAATTACCTTTCAATTTTTCAAGCTTTTTGGACTTTCTCCTAAGCATTTTAAGATGTATATATTGTTTTTAAAAACAAAGGGTAAAGGACAGGCTTTGTTTTTTCAGTTCTCTAGCAGGCAACAAATGTGACTTTGGAGTCAAGGTGTGAGTGAAATCACACACTCGGACTGGAACAAAGGAAAATCAAAAGTGTGACGGAAACATTGATATGTGGATAATTTTGTCGATTAATTGATTATTGCACATAATCATATTTCTGGAAAATGAGATGAAGTATCAAGTCATGACCGCCCCCTTGTGCCTCTCTGTCTGGGCTGGACAACACATGCACAGTCACCAAGATGGTGGTGGACTGGAGCTCCTTCTGCCAGGGCTTATCCACTCCGACTGCTTTTCCTTTTTTCTCTATTTTTTCTTCTTTCCTTTATTTACCTCTTGTCCTGAGCCTGGATGGCTTCGGTGGTGGCAAGTGGGCCCAGCGTGGCTCTCGTGGCAGCAGCGAATGAGCCCCCTACTTACCTTTTAGGGGCGCGCTTAGGACCTGGCTTTGGAATCAGCGGCTGCTACATTGGCGGAGGTAATGTCACCGAGGTAGGTCCAGGGGTGAAAGATGGTGCCTGAGAATCAGCGACTTCATCGTTGGTTGGGTCCAATGCTGGCAGCAGTGAAGTGGTGGTGGAAGGGCATCACAGCAGCGAGAGATGGAACTGTGACTTTTGTGGGTCTGGTGCAGGTGGCAATGAGGCAGTGACAGACGAGAATAAGCCCAGTGGCTAAAGATAGTGCCTGAGGATCGATGACTTCGATGTTGGTTGGGTCTGGAGTGGGCAGGGTGGTAGGGGAAAGATAGCGATGCAGGGGTCTGGTGTAGACAGGGTGGTAGGGGAAGGATAGCGGTGCAGGGGTCTGGTGTAGGCAGGGTGGTAGGGGAAGGATAGTGGTGCAGGGGTCTGGTGTGGGCAGGATGTTAGGGGTAGGATAGCGATGCAGGGGTCTGGTGTAGGCAGGGTGGTAGGGGAACGATAGCGGTGCAGAGGACTGGTGTAGGCAGGGTGGTAGGGAAAGGATAGCGGTGCAGGGGTCTGGTGTAGGCAGGGTGGTAGGGGAAGGATAGCGGTGCAGGGGTCTGGTGTAGGCAGGGTGGTAGGGGAAGGATAGCGGTGCAGGGGTCAGGTGTAGGCAGAGTGGTAGGGGAAGGATAGCATTGCAGGGGTCAGGTGTAGGCAGAGTGGTAGGGGAAGGATAGCGTTGCAGGGGTCTGGTGTAGGCAGGGTGGTAGGGAAAGGATAGCGGTGCAGGGGTCTGGTGTAGGTAGGGTGGTAGGGAAAGGATAGCGGTGCAGGGGTCAGGTGTAGGCAGGGTGGTAGGGGAAGGATAGCGGTGCAGGGGTCAGGTGTAGGCAGGGTGGTAGGGGAAGGATAGCGGTGCAGGGGTCAGGTGTAGGCAGGGTGGTAGGGGAAGGATAGCGGTGCAGGCATTATTGATGATGAGCTGGCCCAGGACTGATGGACTTAACCTATATATCTTTAACCTATATATTTCTATTGTTTTTTTTCTTATTTTTAAAAGTATTCAAAATGGCAGTGGATCATGGCGATGGTGGAAAAGCTTTTCACTGTATTTTACTGTTTTTCTCACAGTAAAATACATGTGACAATAAAATCATTCTTTCACTGATTCCGTGCTGGGTCCAGGAGAGGGAAATTAAAATAGGATGGTATCCAGACCACCACTTTCCCATATCCACCCAGCCCAGGCTCACCCCATAAATACAGGAGTGGGTGGGGGAACACAGAAACCAGCAGCCGGTCTGCCGTATTTAACAAATAATTTAAATGTTAGCTCACTCCAATATCATCCAACCCACGCCATCATATAGTTGGTGTGGGGGTGGGCAGCATAAGTATCTTTGTGTAAAAGTTTTTAAAATAGTGTTAAGGAGGTGGGGTACTGTCTTTGGAAGGTGGCTCTTGCCCATCGGGACCACCCTCCCCCTGAGAAGATACTTACTCCACTGTTTTGTCCTAATGCTTATTCTTCACACCACCATCCCCCAACCCCATCCCCTGACCTACCCCACTCCTGAGTCCACTGGCTCTCCTTCCTGGATTTCCTGCAGTACCGGCTGCGCCCACTACCGAGCTCTGGCATTGTTGAGCTAATCCTATTGACCCGCACCGCCAGAGATTGGGACACCTTCCCTCCCCCACTGAGGGGATGAAAGTCCAGCTCTCCCCCCAACCCCTCCAGAGAAAGTCCAATGGGTCAACCTGTTTATCCACCTGCATCCTGTCACTGCTGCAGAATGGACCTTTTCTTTACGGGTTGATTTCTGACTCATGTTTTATTAGGCACATGTACAGTTTGCTCTCCTCCTCCAGCGTGACTCCATACCCTCTGGGGTCCCTTTTTGTCACCTGCCCCCAAACTCTTTAATGTGTGGCTCAGCTCATGTTCTCTCTGTAGCTCTATCTCTCTTCTTCTGCTCTAATTAATTGGCAAGGTATCTCAACTACCTGACTGTGATTCTGACCTACTATCATGTCAGTTTTCTATACCTTCTCTTCTTATTTGCCTTAAGGGTTGCATATTCTGTATTAAAGTATTTATGAAGTGTGATGTGCATCTAGGAAGTGAAGTTCCTCCTCTCAATAGCTTTACTTATAAAAGAAAAGTGAGTTTTAAAATTGGAATTTCTCACAGGAGGTGTTTTGTTCCCACTGCTCCAACTCTTTCATCAACAAACAAGAAGCAGATTCTCTGGCCAGCAAAGCAGTAATAATTTTTGAGATACAGAGTCAACCTTGTTGACCAGTTCAGTACTTAACAGAAATGTTATTGATTGAGGAGTGCGATGGAAATTGTTTTCAATCAGGAATCAACTGATTCAGCATATTGACCTGAATTATTTCAGAATGCCCTTTTCTTCCAACAACCCCCTGCCCAACACAAGTAATTCGAGTGCTCTAAACATAGCATAAACTTAAAGAATTGAAATTTTTCTAGTTGTTTTAACACTTATTTTTCATGGCTGGTTTTCGTATCAGTCACGTTTTTAATATTGCCGTCATTTAATCTAGCTGGATTTCAGGATATTTCTGGGTGAGTCCTGTCTGACGATCTCCCGTGTTCAACACCATTCATCTCAGTGCTGTTTTGTGGGGTGTATTTCACTGGCAAAATATCTGTTTGTTCCTCCATAATATACTTTGGAAGTAATTGTAACGTGTGAATTACTTCAGGTTGTCATTGAGTCAAGTCCATAAAATAAGTCTGAGACTTTTCCTACTTTGACTCTGCTATTTGACAGAGCAAAACAATCATGTCTGCACTGTGAAGGTGTGGACAAATTCCTAACAGACTAAATAAGCAATATTTCACTATTCAACAATCAACTTTTGGAAATCTACAAAATTCATCAGCATTATTAATCCTTATGAGAAACACATACTTCATATCTCATTGGAAGGCACAATGAACGCACGAAGCATTAAATTAAATATATTCTTTGCATGTAAAGTTAAGGGTCAGATTTTGCAATTCACTTATCACTTGTAGTTTTAATGCCAGCCTTCTCCGTCATTTCCTGTCCTACTTGGGTCACATGGTACCTGTTGCAACCTACTGTGAGTTGGATTTCAGTTGTAAAGTCATAGAGTCCTACAGCAAGGAGACAGGCCCTTCAGCCCAAACTGGTCCATGCCGACCAAAATGTCCATCCACACTAACCCCATTTCCCTTCACTTAGCCCATATCCTTCTAAACTTTTCCTATCCATGTATTTGCCCAAATGCCTTTCAAATATTGTTAATGTACCTGCCTCAACCACTTCTGCTGGCAGCTCATTCCATATGCATCCCACCCCCTGTGCCCCTCAGGTTCCTCAGTTGTGTTTCTGTGGAGGTAGAGCATATTAATGGGGTTTCGCTTAAGCAAATACAAAGAGACACTTATTGAAACCATGGTGTGGTAGGTTTAGGAGCTCTTGTACTGTTTAACATTGTTATTATCACACACAGTTAAGAGTTAACCCTGTTCTATCATCCAACATTACTCCCCAGTCCTATCTTGAAATTGTCATTAAATATGCATACTGCATTGCTAGAATTAATCTGCTAGTTTATTTATATTCTGTCCTGTTCTGACTTTTTTCTTAGCTTCTGTTTTCTATCTGGTCATTCAGGCAGATTATCCAGGTCATTCTAACCTGCAGCTTCTGTCAGAGGGACCTTAACTTGCACTTGGTGACATAGCGTATGTGTACGATTGTGCTAGTCTTGCAAATCTTGCCTGTTCTGGGAGATGAGGTAGAATCTCTTCTCTGGGTGTCTCACTGAGATTGTAGTAGTTGTGAGGATATCATGCTTGATGTATTTCAAATCAAGCTCTGGAAGACTCGGTGACAGTCTTCTGGTATTCAGTGTTTGTAATATGTTCCACTTTAGGATATTATGCAATTTTGCAAATTAATAATACATTGCAAAGTGTGCATTGATGTACCCAGGGCTTTGTGGAAAATTGAAAACAAATGGAGGTGAACTCTTCATGCAGCAGTCATCAAAAACAAGTCTTCCAAGTTTTTTGCATTTCATTATGTTCTCCAGCTAGGCATCGCTGATTGCTTAATTATATGAGCAATGATTATTAAAATTCATGTTACAGAAAGGATTCCTATCATGAGAAGGAATGCTTTGAATAGATCATAATGTATAACTCAGCATGACCTTAAAAAAACTTACTTGTTTCATGGTTATCAAAGCTAATAGTGAGAAAATGAGACAAAACATTAAAACTGAATTAGCAATACCTCTTCTGCTCCTCATGCAGTAATAGCCATATGACATAACTAATGGATAGCAGTGTTTTGATGTCTGTAGGACATTAACTGATAAATCTCTCTTTATTTTTAGAACCTGGCTATTATGAAGATGGCAGTTTTGGAGTGCGCATTGAAAGTATTATGCTTATAGTTACTGCACAAACCAAGGTAGATTATTATTCTTTCTGTTTCCTTTGCAATTTGAAAAATTTAACTTTTTAGATGTGGACCGTGACAAAAATCCTGCTCAGTTGTCTCGTCACCCTGTCTCCATGCTATCAAAGTTCTTTAATCCACTCTGTAGCATCTGCCCGGTTTTGTCTTATTAAGCTCAGAATTCGTCCACACATGGTCAATGATGAAAGTATTGGGGAAAGAGAGCATCTTGCTCTGTTGAATGCAGGATTCACATGAGCTAATGCTTGTTCAGTTGCAGTATGGATTGGAAACAGGTCAATTTGTGCTGTTTCAAATTCCTATTTCCTGCAGCTGCTGTCTGAATGATTCTTGATATTCATGGTATATTTAATGCAAGAATTATAACTGGTTTAGTTTCATAGGCTTAATTGATCAGAGGCTACTCGAACTTTCTCTTGGGAGTATTCAAAGTGAATCTTTTATCTATTGATGTGAGAAGGGTTTGAGCTTGAATCCGGGCGCGCAGGAACACTGAATCTCCCAGGTTCTTAAAACTAGACTATTTAACTAGCATTGAATTTATTGCAAAGAACAGGAAGCTCCTTCATGCCTGCATCTTTTAAAATGAATTACATTGTAAGAGGCTCCAATTAAATATTTCTACCAGCTTCATTAGATCTATTATGGTTGTTTTTAAACCACTTGCCACCTCAATGAGGCCAATAATGCACCTGAATATAGAAACTCTAGTGCTCCCAATTTCATTAACTGTAGGATGTTTCTGCTTTATATCTAACTTTGTGCACCCGAACCCCTAAGTCTTGTTCGACATCCACTATATTTAACTCTGTCCTTTTAAAAAGTGCCCTGATCTATCCTCTTCTGGTCTGAAACGGATAACCTCATTTTTGCTTATATTAAAATCCACCTGCCACTGACCAGTATTTTACATTTGGAAGAAGGTCTTTAGGGACTGCATTAACAAATATCAAACAATGAACCAGATCTCACAGTAGAGTCATAGAATCGTAGAGGTCTACAGCATGGAAACAGGCCCTTTGGCCCAACTTGCCCATACTGCTCAGTTTTCACAGTTTAAATTAGTCCCATTTGCCTGTATTAGGCCCATATCCCTCCATACTTATCCTATCCATGTACCTGTCTAAATGTTTCTTAAATGACAAAACTGTATTCACTTCCACCATTATCTCTGGCAGCCTGTTCCAGACACTAGTAACAAAAGTGGTGCTGTCAGTGCTCACTTTTTTTAGGAAGAGTTTTTACAGCAACTTTGCGTGGCTATACATCTGCGACTAAATGCAGAAACTTGGGCATCTGAGTTTCTCTGCTACTCCAGAAGCTTTGCTATTTTGTTTCAGAGCTGCCATTAAACAGCCCTGCACTGCAGGTTAAGGAAGGATAAGTGCTCCCGTATTGAGTGCTGCAGCCAGCCATTATTGAATCACCCAGGACAAAAGAATTGCAAAGCTAAGAATCTCAAAATTGACTGTTCAGCTACCAACATCAAGACTACCAGTAACATCCACTAAACAGCCTCAACTATCCACTGTTCACGAGTGACTCCAACTGATTTGTATTGTGTTTTAAATTTTATTTTTGTTTTGGACTCACTTTCTATTTGTAATCTATGTTTATGTGTGTAACTTTTTATGAATTAGTAACTAACAAACTATTTTTTTGTCTTAATTCAAGAAACCCCGGTTAAATTGGCTCCTTTGTAAAATCTAAATTAATTGTTTCCAGGAGAAAGATATCACTAGAGAAGATATCCTTTTTAAATTAATCTTGATGCGAATAGCCAAGTCTATCTCTGTCTTAAGTACACTCAATGGCTTGGCTTCCACAGATTAACTACCCTCTGGCTGAAGACATTCCTCCTCATCTCAATTCCAAATGTTTGTCCCTTCATTTTGAGGCTGTTCCCTCAAGACCTAGTCTCTCCTACTAGTGGAAACACCTTCAACACGTCCACTCCACCCAAGCCTCTCAGTATCCTGTAAGTCCCAGTCAGATCCCCCCCCACCCCCCTTCATTCTTCTGAACTCCATTGAGGACAGACCTAGGGTTCTCAACCGTTCCTCATATGACCAGCCCTTTATCCCTGTGATGATTCTTGTAAGTATCCTCTGGACCCCTTCCAACAGCAGCATATCCTTCCTCAAATACTGGGCCCAAAACTGCTCACAATATTTAAAGTATCGTTCTGACCAGAGCCTTCTACAGCCTAAGCACTACATCTCTGCTTTTGTATTCTAGCCCTCTTGAAAAGACTGCTAACTTTGCATTTGCCTTCCTAACCGCCAGCTGAGTCTATATGTTAACCTTAAGGGAATCCTGAACTAGGAGTCCCAAGAGCCACTGTGCTTTAGATTTCCAAAGCATTTCCCCATTTATAAAATAGTCTGCACTTCTATTCTTCCTACCAAAGTGTATAACCGATACTTTCCCACATTGTATTCCATCTGTCACTTCTTTGACCACTCTTCTAGCCTGTCCAAGTCTTACTGCAGCCTCCCTGCTTCCTCAATGCTACCTGTCCTTCTACGTATCTTTATGTCATCTGTAAACTTAGCAACAATGCCCGCAGTTCATTTGTCTGGACTGCTAAAGTATAATGTATTCTAAGAATACTTTTTAAGGATAATCCTACAAATTAGACAAGAGGTATGTTTCCAGAGACATGCAGCTATGATGAGGTAGGACAGAGTGATTGAGGTCTGGAAGAAAAATGATAGGTTTGATGGACAAGTGATCTTTAAATTTTAAGAACATGTTTCAAGACGTTTTAGCAAATATTACCCTGGCATGTCCCTGTGATTAATTGTCAGATGTGACTAAATATGAGCTGGTGTGTCTGGATTTGATTCAGTAGTAATACACGCAGTGACATCCATTATATTGGATCATTGTCAGTTATGAAATAGTTCAAATAATCTTAAGGCTGTAGAGAAAAAAATACAGAGAAAATAAATTATATAGGATTTTTAAAAACAGATTTATTCGTGGCCCAGTGTGAACCGAGAGATGATTTGACTTCCAAGAATTTGAATGGGAAAAGCAAAAACTGGCTATTTCCAAGTTAGTTACTTTGTTTTAATGTAAAGGTGAGAGTGATAGCCCTTGACATAAAGGCTGCATTCGACTGAGTGTGGCATCAAGGAGCCTCAGCAAAACTGGGATCAATGGGTATCAGGGGGCAAACGTACGACTGGTTGGAGTCATGCCTGGCACCTAGGAAGGTGGCCGCAGTTGTTGGAGGTCAGTGATCTTAGCCCTAGACTATCTCTCCAAGTGTTCCTCAGGGTGATGTCCTAGGCCCAACTATCTTCAGCTGCTTCATTAATGACACTCCCTCCATCATAAGGTCAGAAGTGGGGATGTTCGCCGATGATTGCACAATGTTCAGCACCATT